TGATCAACTTATGGAGTTCTCAGCGTGTTCGCCAGGTCTAACCCTGTCAAGAAGTCTGAAGAGGGTTCCACAAGCGATAAGTGCAACAGAAGAAACTGTTACCAAATATATTTGAAGCATCGTCAGTGAAGCCATTATGAGGACAGAAAACAATTTTCGTCCAAAAATGAACTTTTGATAGCAATATCAACTGAGAAAATTCAGAATTTTACGTATTCTGTGGACACTAAGCTGCTTGAAGTCATCAGAAGAAAAATGGAAACTCTGCGTACATCAGTAAATAATATTACTTTTCTCTTGTGTTATCTGATTAACTGGTTATACTTTGCTCCGTAAGTAATTGTTTCAATTAAAAGTTGTATCGTGCGAGACGATTTTTCTCTCCAGAATCTATCTTGCATATCTATAAGCCTACCATTCGCACATGCTTACAATATTGCTACCACACATGGTCCGGTGCCCTTGCTGTTTACCATGAGCTCCTTGATAAGATCCAAAGAAGAATCAGCAACATTATTGGTCCTGATCTATAAACTTACCATTCATCCATGCTTAGAATATTACTGCCACATATGGTCCGGTGTCCCTGCTATTTACCTTGATCTCCTTGATAAGATCCAAAGAAGAATCAGCAATATTATTGGTCCTGATCTATAAACCTACCATTCGTCTATGCTTAGAATATTGCTGTCACATATGGTCCGGTGCTCCTGCTATTTACCTGGATCTCCTTGATAGAAGAATCAGCGATATTATTGGTCCTGATCAGTCACTATTCTATTGCCGTAGGTTGCCTCTCTGTGACTTTTCTATAAATATTTTCATGATAATTTTTCTGATGGGCTCTTCACTATGGTGCCTAGACTTTTTGAATTTAAGCTCAGTACTAGACTTGCGCCTCGATCTCATCAGTTTACATTTAAGATGGCTAGATGTAGTCATAAATTCTATGCGAACCGTTTCTTTACTCACACTTCCAGTTCCCTGCTTCCCAACCAACTTTAATTTGCAAAAATTTAAATACAATGTCACTCGCTATCTACTTGTTCTTCTGATTACTCTTTTCTCTTCCCACTCATTATTAATGTTTCTTATCCTAATTCTTCCACGCTCAGTAACCCCCTTGTGTCTTAGTGGCTTTAACGCCTTCCATGAGGTGGTACCGATTAAAAAAAGATATTGCAGTGTTTGGTCGTGTCATTATTTTATTATCCTCTTATTACTTCAAATTAATCCGTTTGCGATGTTTGTATATATTTTGGAACGGTTTGAATAAGCATATCTTGTATATAATTGAATTCTGTATACTAATATGATCATAGATATTCCCTATAAATGTACGAAATAGATTTAACCGCTATCTGATGGCTCCAGGAGCATTAGTTTCATAATGATTATGATTTTATTGATTTGCATATAATGCTGGAACGTAGTGCATTTTGATTATCTTTAAATTTCAATTTCCGTTTTCATAACTGTAATTTCCGTTACTCAAACGTAAGCCACTTACTCAATTGTGAGAACAATTTCTACCTGAGCAAGAAAAATCCTTGCGGTGTTACGAACAGATTAAGCGCGCACCTCCTTGTTATTATGGAGAAGATTGTGTATTTGTCTTGCTATTGTGAATAAGTCACTGTAAAATATCTGGTATATTTGATAAATTATTTGTTCTCTTTGATGAACTTAATCCTGTGCGAAAAGTGAAACTTTCACGAATAACGACATCTTTTTTTATCATTTCGCCCCAAGTAGACAATAAAGCCACTAAGACGCAAGGAGTTACTGAGTGTGAAAGAATACGAAAAAGAAGAAAACATTATTAGGAGGGGGACAATAAAAGAACGATTAACAAGGAAGTAACGTTACGAGGGTAGAAAAATAACTGAAGCCGAGATACCAGGTCAGGACCTATATCATGCCAGATTCCGCTTTGTATTTTATCAAGAATCCTTAAATACATAGAAGAAGCACTAAACCGGATGTGACAGCAATATTCAATGCATGGACGAATAGTAGACTTATAAACATGTAAGATAGAATCTGGAGAGAACAATTTCACGATACAGTGAACTAACTTTCCTAGCAGCAGATCTAGCAATTGATTCAGTATAATCTTTCCAATTCCTGTCAGCGGCAAACGTGAACTCGAGAAGAAGTCTTACGGCGCTTGATATTTACTAAATTCCGCATTGCACTTCCTGCAGCAGGCCTAAGAAAAAGAAGATTGCGTTACGCTACTCTTCCATACTATAATGCCTTTAAAAGCAGAATTTGAAAGCATGACTCTTACTTCCATTAGGGGCACAAGCCGCTCGGAAATAAAACAAAATTAAGCTGAATTTCTGTCACAATGCACAATGACAAATAAAGCCAATAAAAACGATTTTTGTTGGTCTATCTTTCAATGGAAAGGACCTGAGATGATGAAACATTTAACACAGCATTTAGCATCAGTCAATAAACATTTATTACCAACGAAGTACTTTGTATCTATAAACTATCTAATATTTTGTCTTATATCTAAACCGTTGGAAAAGTATTCAATGCCAATGTTGCCCAGTTTTGCATTTTGAACCTTGTGAATTAGTAATTCATTGGCATCTACATAAGAGGGAAAGTAGACATAGATAGATAGATAGATAGAATTTTTAGATAGATAAGAAGATAGATAGATAGGGATAAATATTTTGAGTAGATAAAGAACAGAGTGAGGATAGATAGGATAGATGAATGAATAGGAGAAGATAGATAGATAACCAACAGCAAACGAGAATTCATTGAATGAGATAGATGAATGAATAGATAAAGAAACAGATTGGAGATAGATAGAAAAGAATAGTGGTGCGGAGATAGGATCCTCCCAGAATAGATAAAGAACAATTTGCGAGCTTGCGATTGAATATGAATAAGAAACAGAAATGCGGATAGATGAATAAAGAACAAGGTGAATAGATAGTCGGATAGAATGATAGATAAAATCAATGAACAAGTTTGCGATAGATAGATAGATAGATAGATAAAGAACAGAGTGCGAGATAGATAGATAGATAGATAAGAAGAGTTTTGATAGATAGATAGATGAATGATAAAGAACAGAGCAAACAGATAGATAGATAGATAGATAGATAGATAAAGATGAGATATAGAAGCAAGATAAAAACAGAATGAAGATAGATATTGATAGATAGATAGATAGATAAATAGATAAAGAACAGAGTGCATTGATAGATAGATAGATAGAACCCCTAAAGAACAGATAGATAGATGAATAATAGATAGATAAAGAAATGTGCGATAGATAGATAGATAGATAAATGATGGGAGTGCGATAGATAATAGATGAATAGATAAAGAACAGATGAATAGATAGATAGATAGATGAACATCTGCGATGATAGATATAGATAGATAAAGAACAGTGCGATAGATAGATAGATATGAACAGAGTGCGATAGATAGAATATGATAAAATTAAATGTTTGATAGATAGATAGATAGATGATAGATAGATATGAACTGAAGATAGATATGAACAGATAGATATGAATAGATGAACAAATATAGATAGAGATATGATAATTATATATAGATAGATGAATGAATGGAACATATAGATAGATATGAACATACAGATAGATATAGATAGAAGAGATAGATACGAACATATAGATAGATAGATATGAACATATAGATAGATAGATATGAATAGATATGAATATATATAGAGAGATCATAGAGGTATAGATAGATGCAGAACAGATAGATAGATAGATAGATATGAACCGATAGAGATAGAAAAAATATATATAGAGAGAGAGATAGATATGAACCCATAGGTAGATAGGTAGGAACAGAGAGATAAATATTTTCATGGCAACTGCTCTGACGATCTTTTTTATCTGGTTCCCTGACTACATGAATTTAAGCGTGTTACTAGATTGACGCCTAGTTCCCACCCGTTTACTGTCGAAATAGCTAAATGCAACCACCACTTCAACTTCAACAGTTTCTTTTTTCGCACTTCCCACCTGTGGAACTCCCTTCCGTTTACTTGCTTATCTGATAACTGCAATCTTAAAAAAATAAATGCAACATCAATCGCCATCTTCTGTCTTCTTGAATCCCCTTCGTCGTTTGTCCTTTTCTCAACTCTCCCTATACGCAGTCTTTTCTCTCACTTTCACTCCCCTTAACCTCCTGTGTACTCACACTAGTTATACTCCCGTCTTGATAGAGTGAAATGATTTAAAAAAAAAAAAAAAAAAGGTAAATATGAACAGATAAATATAATCAGTGGTTCTCAAACTTTTTTTTTTATACATAGACCAGTTTTACTCTTAATTTGGTGGGGACCCCCATAACCATTCGATGAAAAAAAACTTTTTACTAATAGATAAGTTTAGGAATTTTATTCTAAAAATGGTAAATGTATATGCTTTATTTTGAAGTAAAACTAATTTAATGCAAATAATCTTGTGTTTAACAACTAAATTCTATGGAATATTTATGTACACAAGTAAAATAACTCGTAATAAACCATTTTAAAATGAACCCCTGTGAACCCCAGGAATGTTACAATACATGGACTCCCAGGGTGCATGTGAACTCCGATTGAGAACCACTAGATAATGAACATAGATAGATAGATAGATAGATAGATAGATAGATAGATAGATAGATAGCTTTTTTGAAAACATACGGTGTAAGCTAGATGTTACTTTTTCCTTGTCAAATTCCCCGGTCTTTAAGGATGATACTTTTATATGTGGTGGGGGGTGCGTGTGTGTGTGTACACGCGGGTATTTGAATTAGATTCTTCAGATCCTAAACGGTGGTGTCTTTTTCACAATTTTCTGACAAGTCCCCATCTTAATATCCCACGTTTTTTTTTTTCGTTTTTTTTTTTGTCTTTGCAGGAAAGGAGAAAAGAACAACCACACCCGACATCAGATTCTATGAATGAACACAGGCACGGCACTGGCGCCTTTTGAGGAGCG